ATATATATATATATACACATATATATATATATATATATAAATACATACATATAAATTTAAATTGCACGTAGTCCCGTTTAACTATATATGTTTTAACTATATATGTATATATCCCATATAATAATATATAAGGAAGATAGAAAGTGAGCTGGGTTGAGTATAGCTAGCTGTGCCTGCTTTTGAGATCGATTGCTCGTTTCGGTTTTATTCTTATTGGACTTTGCGAATAGCGACCGATAGATCAAGGATGTCCATTAGTAGTAGGCGGGAAAGGGATGATAATTAGACGGATTGGAAGCATGATGATTGGCCGAAGGCAGCACCGGCGGTGGTCGTACGCCCGGATGATAGTTGCTGGACGCCACCTGATGATAGGCTCCAAAGCTCCGAGCCATGTGCCGGTTCTGGGCAGCTGCCGCCGCCGATTCGCCAAGGAGACGTGATTGATCCGCGGTGCCCAGTAATCGATTGTTTTGCTCCATTAGCAGGTGGGCAGTAGGATCAACAAGAAGCCGGTGCTGATCCGCAGCCGCGTTTGAGGCGGCCAATATGCGATGTTGTTCGACCGTGGAGAGCAGTCGATGATGTTCTAGGCTCTCACGACTCTGGTGTTGCATCTGTGAGGACAGAAACGAACGATTATTTCCCACCGCCATGTTAGCCGTGTTAGGTGTCAGGTCCAGCGAGGCCATGCGCAGCATATCGTGATGCGAATGGCTGTAGGGTAGCTGCGGTGGCGACGACACCACATAGTTGGCGGTGCGACTAAGATCCACCGATGTGGTCTGATCGTGCTCCTGCTCACCCAGCTGTTCGCTAAGCATGTTGTGCATCGCCGCCGATTGATGCTGCTGCATCGCCAGCTGACTGCTATGGCCACCATGGCTGCCATGCTCCTGCTGATGCACCACCGATGCCGGTGCCTGCTGCTGCGCCTGCACTTGCTGACTCTGCTCCCGATCGGAGAGTATGTCGTAGATGTGATGATGGTACCGGCTGCTTGGCAGTTGAAAGTTATGATGATAGTTGCTAGACGTATTCGATCGCGAGCTCATGTCCAGCCCTTGCAGATCCGACATGTCGTTCGCAGCGCTGGCAGCAGCAGCAGCGGCAACAGCAGCACTTGCCGCGTTGCTATTGCCGCTTTGCCGATACTCGGCTGGTGAATCCAGCTCCTGGCTGTTGTACTTCAGGTTGCTGGCCATGCTCTCATATTTGGAGTACATGAGATCGATTTGTGATTGCGGGAACTTCATGCGCATATCCTGCCCAGCGCTACTCGGCAAGAGATATTAGATTAGTTCGATCATCGATTGGCGCACTCGGATCACTGGACTTACCTGTTCTGTGGCATAATGCTGTTCTCTTCATCGCTGGACATTTGGTTGTGCCGCGAGATATTATGGCGTCGCTCCTGTTGCTCGTGCTCCTGAACGGTGCGCTTGTGACGCATCATATCACCGTTGAAGTTGTAGCGCGGAATGCTTGGCGAGGAGGCGGGCGAGATGAGCTCGTGCTCCGGATATGTGCTTCCCACGCTGGAGGCGTTGCGTCGCTGTGGCTGCAGCGCTGCCGGCAAAGGCGATGCGCATAAATTGTTGCCCGTCGTTGGAGCACCACCACCTCCGCTGGAGCTGCCCACGGGCGTGCTGTTGGAGCCGGGTCCGCCGGCACCATTGCCGGCACCAAACATGCCTCCATAGTCACGACCCGGCGATATGGGTGGCGGCGAGGGCGGTGTCCGGTGGTGCGACGAAGAGAAACCATCAGAATCAGGATGGTGGGGACGCGGCGTGCTGCCGGCATCCACATCTACATCATTCTGGTTTTGATTGCTCTGCGGATTGGTGGGCGTTGAGGCGTTCGGCGAAATATTGCATGCTCCTTGGAACATAGGCAATGGCGGTATCTGCATGGGGAAGCTGCTCAGGTTCTTCATCATCTTCAATTCGTTCTCCAAGTTGTCCATGGTAGCGCCAATGCTAGCACCATTCGCCCCACTTCCACCACCATCACCGCCACTGCTACCAAAGCGTTGCGCATCCGCATCCACATGCGCGCTCATTGGACTATCGCTATTTATGTGATTCTCGGTGGGTACCTGGTTGAGTACAAAAAGCATGTTATCAATTGGACCAAGCACAATTAGGAAAGCATCCTGGATAAATATATCGATTATATTGATATATAGCAGAATGACAAAGCCTTTACCAAGTACCGCTAGTTGGCGATCGAAAACTCGCATTAGCTGAAAATCCTGATTCAGCTTGTACTTAAAGCATATCTCACAATGTGAGAGGGAGGGGTTGCGGCTAACAAAGGTTACATATATTGTACACAAATATACATAGGTGCCTATTATGACGACTATTTATACGCTGAGCCCCATGAAGGGCGAGGAGCTGAGTCGATATAGCCCTGTCCGTCTGTATGAGAGCGTCGATTTCAGAAGATACAAAAGCTAGAGAGCTGAAACTTGGCATGCATTCTCGTGTATACCGTACGCAGTACAAGTTTGCCTAATTTTTTCGATAAATCATGCAATAACTGTTTTATCGAGAATAGTCGAAAAATCGATTTTTTTATACCCTGAATCCATTGAAAATGGGAAATCAGGGTATGTTTTTGTGTAAAAGTATGTAACAGGCAGAAGGAATCATCGCAGACCCCATA